GCAGTGGTGACAACTGGTCATGGCAGTCAGCAAAGCTGGTCCACGATTTGGGGTGGACGCTTTGCAGGAAAGAAAGGGATTGCTTGTTGGTGTTGAAATTTGGAGTACGGCCAATGAAATGAGCTTAATCTAAATCAGAAGACCTGCATTCTAGGCACACACTGTTGCTTAACTGTGACCTTGAGCAAGTCTAAAAAATAAGATGACCTGACTAAGTGGCATCTAAATTTAGAATCCTGTTATTGTTTATTATTATCATTATTATTAAAAAGAAGTGCATGTAATAAGAGATTTTATGTTTGGAGGGGGTGGAGATTGCAAGTTGTTAATGAAACCATTTAAGAGGGAAATTTGGCAGCTACAAGGGAACTTTTTCTTTTTTGGAGCAGTCTTAATAACCAAGAGGCCTTTCCTAATCACTGTCAGAATGGAACTGTCCAGTTAGAGAGCGTGGAAGTCTCTGAGCCCAGGTATGGTAACAGAATGGTGAAGTGATGAAAATGACTAGTTGTGGCCTCATTACTGAGACTTACTAAGAATGTACATATTTCCCTGGAAGCATGTTTGGAAGTGTGGGAACCCATGGCTGGACTTTTTTCATTGGTGAAATGACTTTTAATTTAACATAAGTATTTATATGTCAGTATCAGTGAAAAGGAGCAAAAACATGAATAATTTAACAGATTGAATAGCAAAAAAAATAATTTTGAATTTTAATTTAAAAATTTATAGCTAAATTGGTCCTTGGTCCCAATAATGAACCCACAGTGTTAAGACCTATTTTGGGGAAGGCACTATGCGTTTTCTCTTCTACCAATGTTCAATGCTTCCCAATAGCCACTGCATACAAGGAATGCTCAGATGCTTTAAAAAATTTGGCAAATTGAGCTACCTTATTTCTCAATGCAGCCTAGGCATAGGGATTAGTTACAGTTGTTAAAACTGGAAAAGCTCCTTGTTTCAATATCTCAGTTTTTCAGGTTTTATAGATAAAGCAAGGGCCCCAAAAGCTAAGTCTCACAAGTGGTTAATGTTAGAACTGATTCTTTTACTCTACATCACACTCTTAAATGTTGGAAGGGATTACTATAAAAGTTGCTTAATAAATGTTTGCTGCTGAATAATGATTCTGAGATGAATTTGTCTTGTAACATCTATGGGAGCTGGTTTAAATCAGTGATTCTCATAGAGAGGGGGAAGAGGGAGTCATGTGTAGTTCGAAAACAAAGCAGGTCTTTGTCTTACTGCTTTGGTTTGTTTTTAGTGAAGATGTTTATTTTGAATTTCAAATTACATTAAAAAGAGAACAGGAGATTTTTAAGCTTACTAAGGATGGTTGTACCTATAAGGGAACTCATGTGTTAGCTTTCCAAAGCTCTTTCCAGAATTTTGCTTCTGTGAATGAATAATATATTTTTTCACTTGCTATTTTTTATTAGTTAAAAATGAAACTAAAAATGGGTGATTTAGGCCATGAAACTAGTGGATGAATCATCTAGGAATCTGCTTCCTTTTTGTAGGTAAGACAAAAAGGAATTGCAGGTGGAAACAACATATCAACTTATGTCCATCAACTGATGAATGTGAGACAGGGAAACTGAAGGACTCCATAAAAATCTGCTTTTTGCTCCTTTTCCCACTTTTATTCTTGCTAGGACCTGCACCCCCACTTTACACATGCCACAGAATGCAAATAGTGTATGTCCTCCTTTTAAGGAACAAGCAGTTAATGATTCCTTTAGAATAGATAACATCTAAAGAAGGACCGAGTGAGAATGACCAAATGAAGCCATCATATGCATATTCCAGACCACCATTGGAGCTAGACATCTTGACTCCATGACCCCCTGCTTCCAAGAAATAACACCTCGGTCCTTGTCTTTGTTCTAACTGGTTCCTGGATGCCTGAGAGGACACATATACCAAATCACAATCCTCAGTGAAGACCTCTAAACCCCAAGCAAAGACCAGACTCCCTCCTTTCCTTTCTGAGTCTCCCAGACACTCCATCTGTGTCTGCTCTCTCTATGTCTTCAGTAAGCTCTGCTCTCACTCCTTGCTGGTTCACATTTGATTTCCATCCTTCACAAAGCCAAAGACCCTCTTGGCTTGTCCTGTGGACCCCCTCCTGGTTCCTTGGACCCGGCCTGCCAGCATCAAATGGATAAAGTGTGATATGTCTACACTATGGAATATTATTCAGTCATAAAAAGGAACAAAGTACTGATACATGCTACAATATGGCTGAAATTTGAAAATACCATGCTAAGTGAAAGAAGCCAGACACAAAAGGGTACCTATTGTATGATTCTATTTATATGAAATGTCCAGAATAGGCAAATCCAGAGACAGAAACTAGATTAGTGGTAACTCCTACCAGAGTTTGTGGGTTGGGGAATCAGGCATTACTGCTAATGGATATGGGGTTTATAATGGGTACGGGACTAGATAGTGTTGATATTTGTATAACATTGTAATGTACTAAATGCCACTTAGTTGTACATTTTAAAATGAATTGTATTGTATATTTTACGATTAATAAAAAAGGAATCACACCAGTGACATTTCACTATATCAACCCTTTCCATCTGTCTATGATTTGTGAATAGAGCTAGGCTTTGGAATGAAAGGGCAGCCATCTCGCCTATAGTTAATGGTTTCTTTTGGTTTCTTTTCTTTTCTTTCCCTTTTATGATTCATTTATTTATTTTAGGGAGGGAGGAGGGGCGGAGGGAGAGGGAGGGGCAGTCTTAAGCAGACTCCACACTGAGCACGGAGCCCAACATGGGACTCGATTTCACAACCCTGAGATCATGACCTGAGCTGAAACCAAGAGTTGGACGCTTAATCAACTACCTCACATAGGCGCCCCTGCAGTTAATGATTTCTATATGTCACATATATAGATATATAATTATAAAAATGCAGTTTATAAATCATTATATAACATGTTTTATATATTAATTATATAATACAGAAATAATTTATATATTTACATATAACATAAAATATATTATTCTATAATATATAGCATATAATTATACAATAATATGTAATTATATAATAATATATGTATGCTTAGAGGTGGGGGTGGAGGGCCAGGGCTTATATATAAATATTTCAGAGAAATTTCTGTTTCTTCTGTAATCATCTCCAAAGTTATAGATAAGACACTGCCTTCTTATTTAAGAGTGAAAAATCTGTTGGAAGAGGTCTTAGACTTTCTTTTTAAACTTTCACCATTCCCATCACTGACTTGAGAACTGTGTCTATACGTAGAAAAACCAATAGACTGATTAAAAACAGAAAAGTTTAGATCAAGCCTTAATTTATCTGGACTGCAAGTAATCATGTGGATGGAGTGACAGGAACACACTCAACAGTCCTGCTGTGTTGTGGCTGGCTGTTTATTCTGCTTCCTTATATGGCTCTTGGTTAGAGCTGTTCTCTCATCACTGTTTCTATGCCCCTATAACAAAAGCCCATCCCCTGTTCACACAAGAAGTTTGTGTTTTGTTTCTTGATTTCTTGGTGAACTTTCTTTTTGACAGTTACTGCACATTTAGTCAACGGTTTGAGAAACACCTGTTTCCGGGTCGAGGTTGTCTGGGTGTCAGAGGTTATTCATACGTGCTTTGAAACTGGATGTAAGAGAAAATTGGCTGCACACATTCTTGTGGCATGATTTTAGCAGTCTTTTTGTTTCCTCATCTCCTAGATTATCTATTAGAAAAAAATCAAATGGTTGTTCTTGCTGTAGAAGCTATAACTAATTTTTTCCTAGACAAAATTATATTGACTGTCACTCGTTGCACTTAAAAAAACCTTCAAAGATAGAGTGATCCTCTAAAAGAATATTTATTTTTATTTATTTATTTATTTTTAAAGATTTTATTTATTTATTTGACAGAGAGAGAGACAGCGAGAGCAGGAACACAAGCAGGGGGAGTGGGAGAGGGAGAAGCAGGCTTCCCGCGGAGCAGCGAGCCCGATGTGGGACTCGATCCCAGGACCCTGGGATCATGACCTGAGCCGAAGGCAGACGCTTAACGACTGAGCCACCCAGGCGCCCCAAGAATATTTATTTTTATTTAAAAATATGATACATCAAAGTGAAGCAGTTACACTTTAAACAAATAAAACATAAAACCTTTTCTCTGAATTCAGAGGGAGGGCAATTTGCTTTAGTTCACAGTCACTATGGATGCCAAGAATAAGAACTGTTCTCATTTTCTTCCTCTGTGAGCATCAGATATAAAGATGAGAAATTTTAGTTATAAGTGAAGTTTTAGAGTTTTAATTTTATTCAGAAACTAAAGCTTCCTCAGTACAATCCCTTTTCTTCATTTTGTTCTACATCTTGTGGAAGACCTGAATTCAGGGGTGTTCTTACATTTACCAAGTGTTAAAGATTGAATGTTTGTGTCCTCCCCAAATGTTGAAATCCTAACTTCCAATGTGATAGCATTATGACTTGAGGCCTTTGAGAGGTAATTAGGTCATAAGGGTGGAGCCCTCATGAATGAGATTAGTGCTCTTATAAAAGGGACCCCAAAAGAACTCTCTCGCTCTCTTTCTACCATGTGAAGATACGAGTCTGCAACCCAGAGGACAGATCTCACCAGAACGTGACCATGCTGGCACTTCGATCTTAGACTTCCAGTCTCCAGGCTGTGAGAAATAAATTTCTGTCGTTTATAAGTCATCCAGTCTATAGTATTTTATTATAGCAGCTTGAATTGATGAATACACTGAATTTGCTTCTTCAGGTCAATTCCAATATAGTTTTAAAAGAATATGTTTTCTCATCCCTCTCTGTAGATTTCTCAATATAATAATTATTCTGTGGATAACTTATTCACTTTGAGAATTTTGCTTACTTTTCTGTTTACATTCATAATAAAAAATTTCTGACAAAATTTAAAATATTCAACAGAAACCAGCATACTATACAATAATCTGTGTTTAGACTGATATTGAAAATAAAACCAACGCAAATATGGTAGATCTTCATTTTCTAAAGAAATATATCTTTATTGACTTTTTCCATTTTCTTACAAAGCATTTAAAAAATTCATTCTTGAACTTGCATGCTGTTCAATGTTATGATGGTTGCCTCCTTATGAGACTGTCAGTGGAGCTGTAGTAAGTTTCCTTAAGCACTACAGAAAATAATCATTGCTTTGTCCCACTTTTACAGAAAAGAATCCAAGTTTCATTGAATAGAGTATGCTTAGCTCTCTTGAAGAAGACCAGTTTAGTGGATTAATGTCTAATTTACATAAAGTAATAAAGACAAACTTTGAATCTTTACAGATTAAATGCCCACTTTATACCATGGTGTAATTGTTTGAATTATTGGTGAGTGTACAGCATATAGATGTAGATGTACTAGATACGTCTATAAATAAAATAGTGCTTTATGGTATCAGTATTCTTTGGCTGATTTAAATGCCTATTGTGGACTCTTTCAAAAGACTAAAAGGAAAATGGCCCCACTATTATTGTCAATCTTAACACTGAGCTTGTGCGGAAGGTTCCTATACTGTTGACTGTTAGCATCTCCAGGTCCACGATATATTCTCTTGGTCCTGATAGCGACTTCACCAGCACAAGCATTGCACTTACAGGACTTGTTTGCTAAAATAAAAGAAAAAAGAGGGAGGGAGAGAATAATTTTTGAATTGGAGTTTCTATTGTGAGTATATCTAGTCCTATAAGAATTAGGGGAAGAATTTTGAGGATAGGATAAAACTCACTACTTAATTCCTTTTTGGTTTCAACCTTTCTTGGTTCTTTTCCCCTTGTCCACACATAGTCATTAGTTCCAAGTTACAGGGACCTGCTTTTTTGATAGTTCTGTGTTTTCTGTTCATCCCTCTCTGTTAATGTTTCTCTTCACTTTTACTGAGTTGTACCAGCCTTTATAGAGACTGTAGTTCAGGTGAGAATCTGATAATTTTTGAACTGGTAAACAAAGTTATCACCTTTCCCTTCTTAGCATTATGCATTTGTTTACATTCTAGTAGGTGAAGAGACATGTAAATAGTTAACGTCAATAGAACATAGCAAATGCTAAGATACATGAGGTTATGTAGGATATGTGTGAAGATACATAAAAGTGAAAAATACAAGGAAAAAGAGAAGGAACCTTGAAGCATTGAGGGGAGGCTTTTGAATGTCTGAGGAGAGTCACCAAAGATAATTGGAAGTTTTATAAAGAAGTATGTTCAGGAGAACTGGATGCAGTTTGATTTTGATGAAGAATGTGATGGGTGCTGGAGAGTAGAGGAAGAGGAGTTGAGGGGCAGGTTAGTAGATGTGTGAATCTGAATGCCAGAGGAAAGCAGGGGTAGAGACAGTGGATTAGGATTTAGCAGTCACTTCAATGGGTGGATATTTAAACCAAGGGAGAGAATGTATATGTGATAACACTGGAGCTGGGAGAGGCCAATATTTAAGGAGTGGGCAGAGAAGAAGCCATTGCGGGAAGCTGAGAAGAAACAGATGATTAAGTGGGAAACAGATGAATGGCTAGCAGTATCCATTAGAGTAGCAAGCAAGGCTGAAGGAGCCTGGAACTGAAAAATGCCCTCTGGAGTTAGCAGTATGGATGTCATTGGTGGCTTTTTTCAGGGCAACTTCAGTAGGGTAATGGGAACAGAAGATAGAAAAGGGTGACTAGGAAGTGAGAATTCAGAGACTGTGTTTATAGGCTGTGTTTTAAGAACCCTGGGTGGGAAGGAGAAGAGCGAGGGGGCAACATCTATAGGGAGGCAAGTTGACTATGTAGGAGGTAGATGGGTATTTGATGGAAGAAGATTCTAGAGGAGATGGAAGGAAGAGTACAGGTGGTGAACTGGCCTTGATTGACAGAAGTGAAACCTCATCTTTGGAAAACTCAAGGGAGAAGGTAAAAAGGAGGACACATGAACCTAAATTTGTAGGGGGTGAGTGGGAAGTTCAGGTAATTCATATCTGTTGGCCTCAGTGGTTTCGGAAGGGAAGGAGGTGAGGTCACCTACTGAAAAAGAAGGGTCCAAACTGAAAGGATGTCCAGACTGAACTCACCTTCCTCTCAACACTGGCTCCTTCTTCCCTATCTTAATAAATGGCACCACCACCATTTACTGTTGCTCAAGACAGAAACTTATTTTTGGAAGTTACCTTTAGTGCTTCCTTTCCCTCCACCTCTCCATAGCAAATGACTCATCAAGTCATCTAGTTCTTTCTATATCTTCATAAATCTGTCCACTGTTTTTGGACTCACTGCTACCACCATAGTACCCCATTTTCTTGAACTACTAACTGGTCTCTTCTATTCTTGTCCCACTCCAAACCAGGCTCTGCAGTGTAGCCAGGCATCATTTTTTAACATGAAAATCTGATAGCAACTCCTCTACCTGAAACCTTAATATGATCTTTAAGGCATTCTGTGATCTAGGCTCTGCTCATCTCACCAGGCTCCCCTCAAGCCACTCCACTGGCAGCACTTGGGACTTTCAGACCAACTGGACTGCTTTTTATTCTTTCCATTTTCTAGTCTTTAACTGTTAGTCTTCAGCTTAAGTCCACTTCTTTCAGAAGCTTCCAGACCACTCCTATCTTCTTAGCGGTTGACTTGGTAGGCACTCATGAGCACTTGTAACTCCCTATTGTAACATTCAGCATACTTGTGAGCACTTGCTCTGTGTCTTGACCATGAGCTCCACTGGGGCAGGAATTGGCTTAGTTTTATTCACTGTTGTGTCTCCAGGACCCAGCATGGTGCTTGCCGCTTGAAGGTAATAGTAGTACCTTGAAGGCACTAGCTGAATTAATTCATTCATTTAAAAATATTTTTTTGAGCACCTGCTAGGTGCCAGGTATATTCCTTGTGCTGAGTATAGAAGAGTGAACCAACAGGTAAAGTCTGCTCTCCTTACACCCACACTGTAGACCACACACATAGACCAATGACTACTATGCAAAGTGGTGATAAGGGCTATGAAGAAAATAGGCTCAATAAGCCATAGATACTGGGTGGCATGGATGGGGAGGATGGTATTCTACCTTCAATTTTATGTACTACTTCTTTACAGTATGTCCACTTTTCTAAGGAAGAGGGTTTTCTCAGTATTCTCCAAAAAGGAATATAAATAAAATTCTATATTCTACGGATCCTTCAAAGATCAGGTCCAGTATCATGACCATCAAGAAACATTCTTTAACTGTTCCAGCCAACATTAATTCTTTGATGTCTTGGACCATGGAATTAAACATAAATTGCTCCTTTCCCACCCCTCATAGATGTTAACTTTTGCCACACATAATATTTAAAGCTCTTTAAAATAAGGAAGTATGTATTACATGCACCTGGCATGGGGCTGAGCATACAGTGGGTGCTTAATTAAGGCCTGATGATTGATTTCTACACATCAAATGCTCTCTGCACAAGTGGATTTTCAGTAGAAAAATTTTGTAGGATTTAATCCAAGTACTTCTTGAATTATGTGATAAGAAATAATCTTAAAATGACTTTTTATTTCAAATAGTTTTTGTTTCAAATAACTTAATATTTAACTCTGGGATTAGCAAAATTGCCAATGTTTTATATCATTCATGGAAAAAAAAGATTTTACTTGAGAAAAACACTGTGAGAATTTATATTTGAAAATATCAAGTCGATAAATGCACTGATATGAATCATAAAACTTTTATGGTGCTATGTTTATTGCAAGGAAAATAACATGCTGGAACTTTGCTTAACCGTTTGTTGATTTTACTAGAAATTTTACTTTCTTAAATAATAGCTAAAAGTTCAAAGTGGAAAACTATTTTTAAAAAAGATTTTGAGATGAACTTATTTTATTGCCATGGGTTACAAATAATGTTGTTTGTTTGGACTAGAATTATTAAATTGGTATTATCTGAACCGTGTGAAATTCATTTAAAGTAAACTTCTTACAAATATCTAGTATATCTCAAATTTAAAGCATCAAATGTTAAAGAAGTTTATTCTTAGCTATTAGAAAAAAAGAACAGTAATAAATTTTGGGTTGGATTTTTCTCTTCAGAAGTTGGTCATGAGAAATTAATCATTTCTAATTTACTGGCAAAGAAGCAGAATCACATAATTCTGGAGTTGGAAGGGAACTTAATATATCAAAGAACGGGATAAACATGTAAACATTAAAAATCTGTAAACTTTACCACAAGAATGAATTTCCCAATTTACTTTTCATGTTCTTAAAATGAAATATTGACTTTAAAATTTGATTAAAAATGAAGAGTGCCCAAAGGAGTTTTGAGAAAATTGTAACTGGATGAATAACATACTTAGCATGAAACAGTTACCGGAACCCTGCAAACGGCTTGGTGGGGTGCCATCATTTGCACATGAAGTGGTGAGCCGTATTTAAAATATGTCAGAATTTTCACCTAAAATGAACTTGCTGAGATGTTGTCTGGGGCCTGGAAGGCTGAGGCACTGGAGTCAGGGAGATCTGCTTGGAAGCCCTTGGAAGGATGAGGGGGTACGAAGAGCCAGTTTAAAGGAAGAGAGGCAGGGGCACATGGAAGCAAAGATATCCATCAAGAAAGAAATGGCAGAATTCAGAGAAAGATTTCATATAGGCATGAAATAAATGGAAAACACAAAGGTGACCTCACATTATCTGCCTAAATTTTGCAAGAAGGGTACAACTACTGGCACATTTGGTGCAGGGGGTTGGGGTCATTGCTCACGGCCTTCCAGTTTTCAATTTTGGTGTGAATGTAAATAATCTTGCAGATGTAACAACAAGGAATTTATGGTTTTTGAAAAGCTCTCCAGAAATTATTTTTTCTATGTACAATTAAATAACTATCACTAACTGGTGGTATCTATTTGGAGTATGTGTGTATGTGTGCATTGACTTGTGTTCTGCTGGTCACACACAACTCCATTAGAGTCTTCAACTTGGTATCTGAGTGACTTTAGAGAAGCTACTAAATCTGAGTCTCACTGTTCTGTAAAAAGGGAGATGAAATATTTAGTATCTATCTGACAGTGTTACCAAGAGGATTAAATGAGATAATGCACACAGGAAGACCTTACACAATGCTTGCACATAAAAACTCCTTAAATGTTAGCTTTCTTTCCAAGTGAATACTGCAAAACCCCAGCAAACTTGCACCTGTCCCAACAGCTACAGCTGCCCTCAGGGTACTACTTACTCTTAGGTAGAACTCTCCATTTTCATTTCCAGATTTAATCCGAAAAGTATTGATGGTGTTGGCATAAATGGTTGTGGCCTGTATCTGGAAGATGTCTGATGGCACAGACCTATCGGATCGGATGCTCATGTACTTGTAGACTATAGACTGGGGAAGTTCCCGGCACACCGCACTTGAGACTGGGCAAACACATCGGCTGCAGAAAAAACCAAAAGTATTTCCCAGTTTAGCGTGGGAAGACCAGAAGGTTCTCACTTTCAAAAGCTCTGATTTTTCTTACTTCTCTGATGTTAGAACATAGGGATCTTGACAAGGATTTCGTGGGTAACAACGGAAGCCGCCATGATAATTCCAACACATTTCATCTTCCCGACATTCATTTGTGGTCTCACACTCATTTATATCTGTAAACACATAGGGTCAAAGAATTTACCGATCTAAGTAAATCATATAACACTTCATAGCTTCACTTCTTGTGCTGTGCTTCCTCTGGACAGTGTAACCCACTGTCCAGAGCATCAAGTCTCCACCCTCATGCCTTGCTTACCAAAACCGCACCGCTAGGCTTTACCTCTCTTGGAAGCTCTTGAGTCAGTCAAATGCCCTCTCCGTTCGTTTTGCTTGCTGCTTTTCCAGCCTAGAAGGCTGGGAAAAATCCCATCTAACCAGCACACTTCAAGGCCAAACTAAGATGCCTCTTCCTTCCTGCAGCCTTCTAACCCTCCAGGCAGAATTTATTCTGCTTCTAATCTTCCAGTGTATTATCCATCTCTTATTTAGTTCCATTTTATTTTATAATTACTATTGCCATATCTATATTCTTAACTAAATTACAATCTCCCTGAGGGCAAGAATTGGTGTCTTTCACTTTTATATAAGCACAGTCAATGGCTAACGTTTGGCTTTGAATTCAACAGATGAACAAACAATAGGTGCTTGATAAAAATATCATAAAATGACACATACTAATCTGTCTGGAATGACTCAGCTACATCTGTCCTCAATTAAATGCAATGAACTCAGGTCCTACTCAGCCTTGTGTCTAAAAGCACATTAAACTTAGCCCAGATCCCCATACAACCTGAATCTATCTGGATGTGTTCCACCTTGGGTGGCATAGCTATTTGGAGACTGTGTGGAAGAAGGGGAATTAAAGCAGGGGCTGTGATGAGAGGCAAGCTAGGAAAAGGCAGTGTGAGGAAGCCAGAAGGGCAGAGAGTCCCAGAAAAAGAGTACTGTGAGAAGGCGAGGCTGGACAAGGACTGGTTTTGGATTTGGGAATTAGGAGCCTCCAGATGACATCTGAGAGAACACTTCCACTAGAGAGCCATTATATTTACTACTAGAACAACAACAATGAAAATTCTATTAATATTCACATCCCTAGCTATGTCTACCTCCCTTTACATTTGAATAATGATTTCGATTTTATCCATTATAAGCCTTTTCTGAATCCTTCTGCCTCATAACCAGACACTTTCATTCATTAATTTACCCCTTCCATAAGTAATTTACTGAATCCCTGCTACAAGCCAGAAATGGGTGAGTTGCTGGGGTTTAATCTATTTTTCCTATCAGAATTCTCACACCCCATGTTCTTTGGGGGGGCTTTATTGCTCTCTGCTTTGCATTACTGAAATCTGCATGTTTGTCTTAACCCCTCTATTAGCTTATAAACCCCATTAGAGCAGGACTATAGTATTCATCTTTATATCCCTTTATCACCTAGCATTAATGCACTCAGGGGCACCTGGCTTTTAAGAAATATTAAAATGAACTAAGTTGCTCTTCACACAAATCATGTAGACATAGATGAGAAAGATATTATCTCTACTTGACTTGGAGGAAAAACAAATAAAGGTTAAGTAAGCGGCTCAAGTTCATACAGGTAGTGACAGGCATGTTTACACTGTAAGGCACTACACATCCTCTAAATGAGAATAATTCCATGCCTTGTCCTTGGAGGTAAAAAATTTTCTTTTAGCTTCCAAACTGGTCAAAGCTATCTGGAACCCAAGGGGAGACGGGAAAGTTTCCAAGAGTTTCCAAGAGTCAGTTATACAAAGTATCTTCTTTTGGACTGGCTATGGCTAAAGAAAGAATTTAGATCCCTTGGAAGAAATCATAATTGACTTGTCCTTTCAATATTCTTCACTTCTCTGAAAAATAAAGATGCTATTAGCTACAAGGAGAACTAAGACTGGTTTGTTATATGGATACCAAAAATGGCAAAAGGAAACTTTATGTAATAATTTCATTTATTACTTCCATTAACTTAGAGCCTAGCATAATCAATATCTTAATCATTCCGGAATGTTTTTCAGGAATTATTAATAGTATTAAAATATTTGATGAATGTGTGTCTGTGTGTATATGTATTCTCTCTCTGTCTCTGTTTCTCTGTCTGTCTCCTCTGTGGCCTCCTCCACCCCACCCAAACACACAACAGAGTTTTCATTTTTGCAAGGTTGTGGAAATGAGAACAGTTATTTCATCCTCAAAATAAACCTTTTGGGTCAAGGTAAGAATCCATACTCTTTTGGTTTTACTTTAGTCTATAGATGAGGTTGGGAAGAGATGATTTTAATGGAGAAAACCAATTGCTTTGTACCTTAAAAGAACGTTAAGTCTCTCTCATAAAAAATGTTTTGGCTTAACCAAACATTCTGGAGCTGCATATCTTCAAGATATAACACTCATGAATCCCTTATTTGCAATTCCAGTATATTTTTCACCTTTAATTGTAACAGATATGTTTCCATACACATAGAGTAGGCAGGTAAGATTCCACTGTATGTTAATTTACTTCTGTCCTTTGCTGAGTACCAAATCCATTTATGATCAAAAACACATAGACATTTATTTGAAGGACTCTAGGGAAATTGGTTAAGATATCCCACTGGCTAACATCTTCCTTCCTCCATGTAATATTCATGTTAAAAGTCTCAGGCTTCAGAAAGTAAAACCATCAGAATGCAATGTTTTTCCACAATTAACATTAGAGCCTCTAGGAACTTGGAAAGGGGTATAAAGGTGTTCATTGTGCAATGAATGGCATTCTGATTACGCTCATACTTAGTGGTTGGAGTCTAGTTGAATGATCATATGCATCCTATAAAATCCCAGGTCCTGGGTGTTCCTCTGAGTTAATATTCTCCTGTAAAATCATGATATAGACTGCAAATCCCTAGTGTCTCCTTTCCTTGATTTTTTTCCTTTCTTAAAAGATTTTACTGCCCTTGTATGTCCTTTCTTAGTTCTGATTAAAGAGGACTATCTCGGACAGATTTGCTACTAGTCACTTACATCGCTAAGTAAATTTTATGAAAACATCTTGGATTGTAAGCCTTTTTAGTTTACAAATAATTTTTATGTGTGTCATCTCATTTCATGCTCACAACTCCCTTTTCCAAATGAGAAAGCTGAGGCTTGGAGACGTTTGATAATCTGTTCAAGACTGTACAGAGAGAAGGCAGTACAGCTAGGACTCAAACAAATTTTCTGTCTTCAAGTTCAGTCATTTTTTCCCCACTCCTTCACTACTTTATGTAAACTTTGTCTATACTAGCTTTTCTAGGATTATCTATACTTATGGTTTCTATCTGAGCAGACTTTTCCCTGTTAAAGAAATTTGAAACTACATGTACCATTGGAGGTGTGTAGGTATGAAGATCACCTGAGTTTATTTTAAAACTGGACCCTAGGATATTAGCTATTTTGGGATCAATGGGTTTTTTTGCTGAAGAATTCAAGCACATTTTAATACACATGGGGCTGATTTTATCAGCACCTAAATTACTGCCCAATTCATAATCTTGGTGTTTTAGAGGATATGAGACTGGTTTAAGGTTTGCCTAACCCACATATTAAGTTTATTCTTGAGACTCAAACTCATGGCGAAATATTTTAATAATTGAATCTTTTGGGGCAGGTGATTAGAAGATGTATATCATAGAGATTATGTAGGCTATATAGAAGAGATATCATTATTTTATTAAAATTATTTATATCTTAAGAAAGAAAAACAATTACTTTAAGTTTTAAAAAAGTCAGTGTTAACTGAATAATACCCTTTTAATGAGATGTGCATATTGCATGATGAACAAGGGAAAAAAGAGCTCAGATTTTATTCAAGAGGGAAAAAATGAAAGTCTATGGTAGAGGATCCTGTAACTTTCTCCCTGCTATTTTTCTGGTTAAAAATGAACACTTAACAGATATGAAAACAATAAACTCACCCTGACAGGTTCTACTTCTCACCACTTGGTATCCCTGGGGGCACATACACGAGAATTTCCCAGGTTCATTGACACATTGATATTGACACAGGTAGCTTGAGGTTCTGCATTCATCAATGTCTGTTGAATCAGACAAGAGCAGGGACACAGAGTTGAAAAACTTTCAGGTCACTGCTTCGGTAATATTTTTAAAGGTAAAGTAAGAGAGTAAAAATGGTGCAAACTCTAAAACAGAAATATAATACTTTGTAAGAAGCTCAGGGGAACATTCTACAATATCAGCTCATTTCCTCTAGAACTTCACCACACAAAGAGTTTTTCTTACCATCAGTTTACCTCAATCATTGCTGAGAGTTTGGTGAATCTCAGACCTAACCATACCGACTGAGCAGACTGAATGAACTGGGAATTCAGGGGAAGAATGTTTTGCATTTCTCAATGATGATGTCCTTATAGTTTGCTCAGAAGGGCAGGGGCAGCTCTCCAGAGCCAGCCCCTTTTGGTTTTGAGCATAGTGGCATGATATGAGGTCTCTCTGGGTGGGTTATGACCTTTGTGGCCCCAAGTAAAGCTGGGAGGCCTCAAGTGTCAATGGCATTCCCCTCAGGATGTCTTATGCCTTCTGAATTGCACAGTGGAACATGCATGGGCAATGGACTCTGAAGGTCATCCTTCCAATTAAATGGCCCTCTTTTTACTCATGTGGAAAGTGAAACCCAGGCAACTTAAGAAATGTGTCCAGTGGAAAGTTACAAATAAATTGAATGCATAACATAAAAAAAAAAAGAAATGTGTCCAAATCACACAGTGGTGGGAAAAAGACTAGAGAACAGGTCTCTTGGTCTATATTCTAATGTTTCTGACATGTGATTAGCTCTCTTCAAAATTTAAATGTGCATACAAGTCACCTGGGATTCTTGTTAAATGCAGCATCTGACTCAGAGGTCTGGTCTGGGGCCTGAGATCTGTATTTCTCCCAAGTAGAGACAAGGAGGTGTCATTGCTGCTGGCCATCAGATCACTTTGGGAAGCAAGACACTAGAACACTCCTTCTAATTATTAGACCCAGTCTTAATCTAATATTTCAGTTATTTTGTTCCTTCTCCTTTCTCTTGATAACATACTAAAAAGCCAATGTCATAATTGAACTTAATTAACTGGATTTTAAAATAGAATTCCCATGGTTAAAAATTTGTTTTCATAAACAGACATAATTGGATAAAGCAACAGCAATTATTCAGACTGAACTGTTATTACAAATTATTGGAAAATATTTTACCTTCACAGTTGAGCCTGTCACTGCTCAGCTCATATCCTTGATTGCACTGACAGATGAATGAACCGAGAATATTGTAGCATTGCTGAGCACATTGATTGCTAGCGTCACATTCATTTATATCTGAGAGGAAACATTATATATATTTATATATCTATGTCTTAAAACATATCCTTGCTCTTTTGTACCTATGCCATTTAATGATAAGTGAATGATTCCCGGGTTGGATTCTTTGCCCTGCAGAAGCTCACTGGAGAACATCCGTTCAGGTTTCATATTTGTTGGAATAACTTCAAACGTCTGTCATGCACTTCTTTTAGAAATACCAGAATATTTCTTTCTGGGAATAACAGTTTTGTGTTTGATGAATTTTTCCAAAAGAATTTAATGATTCTAATAAATATACATTCCAGTATCTATTTTCTTTTATTGTTGTTCAGATGCAAAGTGCCAAGTCCATAAATAATTGATATAAGACATTCATACTGATACGGTCTCTCAGCATGCTGTGGTGAAGATTTATCTGTGCTATTTATTACTTTTTAAATGGGTTCTGTTAAATTCCATTACAATTATAACATAAGCCTTTGAGACCCATACAGAGTTTTGCAATGCTTTAAGGCACTGAAAATATTGTGAAAAGGCATTTTTCCTGCACTAGATTCTTTCCATGTCATGCCAATCTTAAGATTGTGTGCCATGACACTGCATTCTGAAAGGGGAAAAGAAGCATGTAAAAATCAGATGCACTTTCAGTGGAATTTTATGTACTTGAACTTACAGCATTGGCACCTTCAGCATTTATATCACACATTGTTGACTCACTGGTGTGTGTATATCGATTGATCTGTAGTTTTTTGTATCTTTGATACACCCACAGAGAAGAAGTAAAACCAAGGTTAACAAAGTTTTCCATTCACATCTTGATGTGTTTTAAGAAACAGATTAGTTATTGTCTTTTCAGCTTTATGCAGGGAAGATAATGCCAGTTCACTCAAGAGCACAGAAAACTGGAAATACTGCAACATGCCCTGATGTTTGTTTTGAAGACAGAAATCCATCAGTGTGGCAGTTTCCCCAAATCTTACCTACACAGGTATAGTTGTTTGCGGCCAACTGAAACCCAGGACTGCACTGGCAATAAAATGATCCCGGTGTATTCACGCATCTTTGGTGGCAATATGGAGGGATGGTGCATTCATCTATGTCTGGGTTATCAGGCACACAAAGAGAACCACATTATTGACTATCCATAGTTGTTAGCTCTTTAGTTCTCAGCAGAACATTATCTAGAAAACCTAGCTGGAGAAAAATCTCATTTTAAAAGTAATCCTGTCTCTCTTTTTAAATTAGGGTTTATTTTTTTTAAAAATATACTTTGGTTTGCATTCTGCAGTTGAGTGAGATGTTAAAAATAAAGACTCCATAAGGCTGGTTGAGTGGGTTGAGATTTAAAGACCGAAAAGCAATGAAGACTATTTCACATATATATGAGAATATATATGTCAGTTCTGGGATCTAAAAGATTATCTGTAAGGACAGAAGTAAAAAAGGGCTATGGAAGAATCGACTGATGTAACATAAAACTAAGAGAAAGGAGGCGTGGTCTGTTGCTCGGCTGATGACGTTGGCCAAGTCACATAAATGTTTGGCATCTTGGTTTTTTCTTTTGTAAAATGTGGATAGTAATGCTTGCTATGTGTATCTTACGAAGTTTCTGTGAGAACCAAATGAAAGAACACTGTGGAAGGAGTAGGATGCTGAACAAATTACCTCTTGAGAGTACCCTCTGACACTCCGATGAAGTGTTCCAGGCTGTGTTCTTCTCAGATAAATATTTCCCACAATAAAATGGTCAGTTGAGAACTTGCGGGGTAGGATTAATTAACATCTTAGAAGGATAATAAAATTTCATTAACTCTACACTTTGTGACAACTCTAACATGGCGTGTGTAATTTAAAATAACAGTTATGCATGTAAATGTTAAGACTGTAGTGACACTAACTTATGGTAAAAAATGAAAAGAAAACAAGACTTTATACTGAGTTCTTCTGAATAAAACTGTGCGAGGCAGTATGCTCAAGTGGCCTCAGGATAACCTGAGATGAATCTTTGTTCTGGCACTTACTAGCATGGTCTTAACCTCTCAGAGCTTCCATTTCCTCTTCTGTAAGCGATAATACAACAACGTGGTAGACTTGTTGGGAGGATAACATGAAATTATACAGGCAAACTTCCTTGCAAAAAAAACAGGTAAAAGTAAATGGCAGCTATTAATAATAGGCTGCAAGATAGATTTGATTTCACTTGAATATTGAAATAAAAGGTAATGACATTGACATGGCTTTCCACCTCCTTTATTGAGGTGTCTGCTCAAATGCTACCTCAGGGAGGCCATCTCTGTCCATCTATATAAAATGGCTTCTGCTGTCCCATCTGTCCCTTTTTCTGCTTTATATTTCTTTGTAGCCATTGACACTCCTTCACATTGTGAAGGAACATTATGTGTTTATTTGCTTCTTATCTATCTCCCTCACTATAATGCATGGTAAATAAGACCTGTTTCCTCTTCAGGTGAAGGTAGAATATTTTTTGTCTGTTCACTGCTTTGTGCTTAATACCTGGAACAGGGTCTGGCATAGTAGGTACTTGATAAACATTAGTTGAATGAGTGTAGACTTTATACTAATTAAGAGCAATTTTAGCATAGTTCTTCCTAGTACACCATATTATAGCCAGGTGCCCAGTATTCACAGCTAATTTGTATAAATGGTCCCTTCTAATAGCTCCATGAGGGACGTGATTCTGTAAAATGTGTTTGTTCACCATGAAGGCCCAGCACTTAGAACAGTATCTGGTACATAGTCAGCCCTCAGTAAATACTTGATGAATAAACGATGCATGTCTTTGCAACCAGTGAACATCCATTGAATCATTGTTATTTGCAAGCATTGTGTTTGGCACTACAGTTTTATAATGATCATAAATACATACAGTATACCCTGTCTGGACAGCATGGACAAAAGGCATGAGAACATATTATTGCATGGAATGGTAAGATCAACAGTAGAAAGCTGTACAAGGGACAGAAAGAGCCCATTCTACTCAAGGTGTGACCTGCTGACCACTGTTGGTCCATGGACTATTTGGACCAGTCTGCAACAAATAAGTACAGAAATTGAGAAAAATTGAGAATATGTGTTTAGGAATAGCAATTTGTGTTACCACAACATTTTTTAATTGTACTTTATAGTAGTATCAATCTGCAACAGACTAGAAATTTACAAAAAAAAAAAAAGACTCATCAAGGTTTGAGAAGTAGTGACATAGCAGAGGGAGTAACTAATCATGTCTAGGTAAATCATGGAAGACTTCCCACATGAAGTGACCCTGAGCTGGGATTTGGAAACTGAATAGGAGTTTGCCAGGGCTGCATGTTCCTGGTGCTGAAAGAGCTTATGTAGAGGCACTAAAGTGTGACACTGTGTGATGTATGTGGGGAAATGTAACCAGTGAACAAGGCTGAAGTGTAGTATTTTGGGGGGAGAAGGGTGTTGATACAACAGAGCTGGGCAAGGATCTGTTGGAAGAAGACCTTATATGCTCTGTTGATGAATGTGGAGTTGGTTCTGTGGGTGAGGGGAACAGCAGGGAAGCCACATGATTAGATCTGAATTTAAGAATGTTTCCTCCTGCCATATCATATAGGGCTGTAATCATACATTTTATTCCCTTTAATTTTTCCCATAGTAGGTTGACTTAGTTCTTTTTCTGTACCTTTTATACCCTCAATTGTTTATTTTCCTGACTAATCCATCAGGCAAAACTTTGGTGCCTGTGGAGTTTTCCATACAATCTTCTCCTACATCACAGCTTCAGTCACACAAAGCATGGGCCTTCCTCAGAGGCTGGGCACTCACCCCAAAACCTGGGCACAGCCCCGTGGCAGGCAGGACTGGGCCAGGGCCCTTGAGGAGCTCAGTGTTGACATCCTGACATCAACAGTGGACATTCTCAGGTGAAAATTAATGCTAGCTTCCTGTCCCCACATTCTTATCCGCTGTTCCAAAGAGGAAACAAGGACTCTTCACTGATGTATGTTAAAAGGTGGTATGTAAATCACTATCAATATCATATGAACACAACTGACATAGGGAGTCAGTAACAAACTTTTACTCCTAGTGCTGGACCTCATGGCTGAACACAGAACACATTTACTTTTACTGTTTACTTCTCATTTGCCAGTCAGTATCCTCATACTGTATTCTTCTAGTCATTATAAAAAACAGTGCACAGAGCATCTACTTGGCAGGCACTTTTCAGGTCTGGGGAGACAGCAGTGACACAAACCAGACCCGGATCCTACCCTCAGGTAGCTTAAGCAGAGCTCTCAAGTAGAGGCACATGCTGTACTTAGTTTTGCATTCCCAGCACTGCACCCACGTGCAACATAACGAATGTTTAGTACATGTCTCTTAACTCATCACATAATGATAGCACACAGCTATTCCACCCAGGACTTGTCACAGCTCTAAGCACTCCCATACATGAGCTCCTGATTATGTAAGTCATTTGTCTAAAGCCTCAAAGTGAATTAGGGGTAGAGCTGGGATTTGAACCTCACCATGTGTCCTATAAGCTATGCTATTTTATGAACCAGTGAATGAAGGTCACCTCATCAATGTTTTGGTGCTATGGCCCCCAAATAGCTAATTTAAAATTATTTTCTTGGTTGCTTTTGTGGTCCCATTCATACTCCAAATTTTTGCTTTTGCTTAGTCTGACATGTAGCCAACACTTTGATATCCAGAATATGCTCACCCTTTAAGGTTAGCTCTTTCTTGTAAACGTGGAAAATGGATCAGGAGTCAATGAAAGAATAAGCAGTTGTTAGTTATCATTCTCCAAATAAATATGAGTGCTTTGTTTTGAATGACTGAGGTTTAAACAATTAAGAGGTTTAGGACAGGATTTTGCTCACTGCTCTGCTGTACTTACCTACACACTGCTCTCCTCGCTTCTGATACCCTGGAGGGCACTGACAGGCGAAGGAGCCTCGTAAATTGATGCACACTTGGTCGGCTCTACAGTTGTGAGTCCCTGCAGTGCACTCGTCTATGTCTGGTAAAGACATCCAGCACAGAGTTTGAGTTGGTTGTGCAGATGTTACTATTTCCTCCGTTTAAAAAAAAACCCAAAGAAGTATAATTGACACATAAGTGACATTCAGGTGTACAACATAGTGGTTCAACAACTCTATACATTACGTTATACTCACCGCAAGTCTAGCTACCATCTGTCACCATACAATGATACTATTGCAGTACCATTAACTACATTCCCTATGTTGAATTGTCATCATACTTTTTTTTAAAGAAATAAAGGTTTTTACTTTATTCTTAAAACAATACTCTGTAATATTATTATATTAGAAATATTTAAAATGATAAAAGATTTCAAGCGTTCAGAAAATAATTTCATATGTGCCGGTGTGTACCACTCAGATTTAACACATGCTAACATTAACCAGTGCTTGTCTCGGCTCACTTTATTTCCAGAAATGAAACATTTGAGACATAGCTAAAGCCTTACTGTATTCTCATCTCTTTACCCACCCACCTACCACTATCCTGGTAGGTGTGAATCCTTCCCTGAAATGGTTTTATACTTTTATTATACATCCATCCATTAGAATATACAGTGCATCCGTTAGAATATACAGTCCTGTTTTGTGTGTTTTAGTGTAAATAAATTGTATAATACTTCTACCCAATATATTGTATTTGAGATCATTTATGTTGACAAGTCTCTAAAGATCTGTTCAGTAACCAGATATAAATCAAACTTTAATACTGTGGCCTTTTTTTTTTAACTTTAATTGCTGGGGTGCCTGGGTGGCTCAGTTGGTTGAGCATCTGACTCTTGATTTGGCCTCATGTCATGATCTCAGGGTCGTGGGATGGAGCCCTGTGTCAGGCTCCACGTTCAGTGTGAAGTCTGCTTGAGATTCTCTCACCCTCTCTTTTTGCCCCTCCCCACCAGCATACCCCCCCAAATAAATAAATCTTTTTTAAAAAAACCTTTTTGGGGGGCCCCTGGGTGGCTCAATCAGTTAAGCATCTGCCTTCAGCTCAGGTCATGATCCCTGGGTCCTGGGATAGAGCTATATTGGGTTCCCTTAGCTGGGAGCCTCTCTTTCTCTCTCTCTCTCAAATAAATAAATAAAATCTTAAAAAAAAAAAACCTCTTTCATTGCAAATTTCAAAATGCAAAGGATTCAACTTGTTCATACTCCTCTAGGAGAGATAAAACTGGTGTAGTTGAAAATACCTATTTTCCCAAAGCATTTCATTTCAGTTTAAAAAAGATATTTCCCCAAAGCAGTTCTATAATTTGCTAACTGTGCCCTAAGGAGTAGGTAGATTATAGTTTCAGAAAAGTAAAAAATGCTCAGTCATAATATAATGAATCTGTTATAATGAATTTCTTTGGGATCAAAGTGTGATGTGAATTTGTGCATGTGCATTCATATTACAGTAATTTATAAGTAAAATTTAATTTTGCCTTTTCAACATTACCTTTGCATTCAATTAACTCTCTCCCATTATGAAGTTAAATAGGTGAGTTAAGAAGATTATGTGATTTTTGGCATTCTTCAACAACTGAAGTCTAAGCTTTGTTAAAAAATTTTATCGAACTTGGAATTCCTAGATGACAAATTTTGCATAGAAACTGAGAGCCTTAGATCATCACTGTGGTAAACCCAGGGTGGTGCTTTGGAACAAACAGTGGGCTAAAATTCAATACAAAAGATGAGCCATCAGTAATTAGAATGTATTCCTCAATTCCTGCCTTCTCCTAAAAATGCTCAGAGAATGGTTCCTGATGTGTTGCCTTTCAACTCTCTCTATTTCCAGAGAGAGCTGATACACTCACTCTACCAATATAAGAATGTAGGAGGTTCCTGTTGTAAGAGAGTTGTCCTCAGATATTGGCTTTGAACGATAACAGAGATTCTTTCCAAAAGAAAGAAGGAGGGGAGATGAGAAATACTCGAGGGATGTATGGCCGTTTATTGGATAATACCCTATAAAAGCATCTACTTAACAGAATTCTTTGAACCTGGTTTTAAAGTTGTGGTGAACTTTTTGTGTTATTGTTTTTTATTTTTGTTTTGATATCCATCATCATCATCATTATTTTCAAATCAGTGATTCCAACTCTGTCCTCTTAAGGTACTATGCAGAGGTGCCATGGTCTTGCTTTGAAATTATCTGCTCTTTTTTGTGTCTTTTATTATATTCTCATATGCACTTGATGAAAACATTTCTACTGGGGTTTCTTTCAGAGCTTTATGACTCGCTAATGCAGAAATGACAGCAGAATTCCTATTGTTTTTTGTCAAGAGCATCTGCCAACATTTGCAGTGATAACAGCCCTGAGAGATACCGAAATGTGAGACTCAGATGTGGCAAGTTTCCTCAGTACATGCAGGCAGAAGATCAAGGACTGGGGCCGGCTGCTGTATATTCTAAGGGAGGCCTCACCAGTGACTGCGGCTTTTCTTTCTGAGACCTCTCTGCAAACCGCCTCCACCCCATTGCATTCCCGATGTCCTACAATTTCCTTCCTACTTTCTTGTTCACTTCTAAGGCTCTTTGATAAATAGACTAATATTTCTAGTGGACTTAATATATCATTAAATAGGTTTTAAACGTAAAAATTATGCTACCTGGACCTACCCCTTCTTAAGAACCAGGTCCGCTGAACTTCGGAGAAAGATTATTGAGTAAAAATATTAGGTGAGTTAAAATAATTTAATAATTAAAAAAATACCACTGCCCCATGCCACTATATTTTTTTCCTTTCTCTATCAAAACAAACAAACAAACAAACAAACAAAACTGCAATAGGACTCACCGCACTTAACACTGGTGATATTTTTAACACGCTTTGTACATACTTGGACTCACTTTAATTTTTAATTCTTTCGGATGGGAAACTTCCTGAAATTCAGTAAAACACAACTGCATGAAATACCCTTCAAGAAATTATTTCAAAGGAGTTGAATGCATGCTCTGTCATATACCTAGAGCTGGATCTGCTAGGAAATGAACTGACTACATTTTCATTTACAGCTTCTCCAACTCAAGCTGAGATGATTTATCCTCTCCTTCGCTCTTAGCAGTTTATCTAATGCTGAAGAACACATAGACAGATAGGATCTCTTTGAACTATCTTCGATTATACTGTCAATTCATACCATTATTTAAATAATACAATCTTATTATTTTAAAAGTTGTACTTTGAGACCCTGTTATTATTTACTCACAAAACATATGTCATATGAGAAAGTCATGTAAGAATTGTTATGCATTGTTAAACTCTCTTACACTTTTTTCTAAAGGTTTTATTTTTTAAGTAATCTCTACACCCAACATGGGGGGCTCAAATCCACAACCCTGAGATCAAGAGTCGCTCGCCCTACTGACTGAGCCAGCCAGCTGCCTCTATGCTTTTCTTTTCTACTTGTATGCATTTCTATTTGTCTTAAACATCAGAAAGTTAATGTGAGAAGTCACTAAAACATACATCTATGTCAGAGACTCAAAGAATATCCATTCCTATGCTGGTATTTCAGAAGACCTGGTTTCCCAGACTTTTCATTTATGAAAGGCCTCTGTGGTGGGAGTATCTCAAACGGCAAAAGCACTGCTTTATTCATAAGGGAAACGACTCAGGTCAGCCATGATTTTCTTGGTAATCTAGGAAAAAGTACTCTGGGAGAGGAGTTTTTGTTTTGCTTTTAAACTGTCTATAATTTATCCTTGACAGTGAAGCTCACCAGGTTCTTAAGCAATCAGTTAACACATTCCCTGGGCCCTGGCCCCAAACTCTTTGAGGATGGGGTCTATGTCCTACTTTTTTCTGTATTCCTGATGCCTAGCAGAGTGCATGAAACATCATGGGTTTCTGTTTGTTCAATAAATGGGTGAATGAATGATAATTGTTTGCTGGAACCGATGCCTAGAGTTTGAAGGAAGTAGGATCAGTGTTTTATCTTATGGAACTAATCACTTACAAGGAAGGGTGACAGGCAAGATGTGAGAAACAGCAAAACCAGCAAGATGTCAGCACACGGAAACTGTAGGAAAGCAAAGTTGTTGAGAAGTGCAGAAACTAGGAGGCATAAGGCAGCATTGGAGGTGGGTGGCTATAGAAGGATTGCTGGGCCAGGGGAGTTTTGAGCTGCGTTTTGAAGAAGGTGAGGAGGCTATTTCTAGGCGGAAAGTAGGCTCGCATTAGAAAACATCCAATGAAACAAGTGGTCTGCAAGGCAGTTGGAGTCAGCATGGCTGGAGGGGCTGTGTGTGAGGAGCCTGCTGCGGTGCCTGCTTGAAGGTGCTCATAAAGTGGTAGCGCAAATCCTAAGCAAAAATTCAGGGCCTCAAAGTGGGATTGGAATTTGAATTGGACATCACGGGGAGCAGCTCTGAGCTATGTAGACACAGCCTAATGTAAACATAGCCAAAGAACAAAATAATAGAGTGTGCTTCCTAAAATATCACAACACGTAAATCAACTCACATTTCATCATTCTAATGCATCAAGAATAGCTAAGGGCAGTATTTGGTGATTCCCTCATTTTTCAAAAATGTGCCCACACTCTCCCTCCTAGTGATTTATACTGTTTTAGGTCCCTTTCTTGCTGACTTTGGCACCATCATTGCTTCAAATAATGCAGTCTGATCTTTGCTCGGCTCTTACTCTTAGCCTCTTTATCATGCGGACCCCCAGTCTATGGGACTAAATACTTGGTTTCCTCTCAAAAGTTTATGGAGGCAACTGTGTCCACATCTCTGTGGTGTCCATTAAGTCCCTGCTTAGGTCCACATTCTCTATGTTTTTGGCTTCTTCCTGTCATTCTGACTCATATTTCCCAAACCCCTGACTCATGCTGCTTTCTCTCTCTTATGCAACATTTTAATCTCTGCAATGTTCTTTTCATAATTTGATAACTTACCACGACATGGACATTGAGTGTGTTTTCATGGGCAAACATTTTCTGTACCTTAAATGCTTTAGATTACCATTTAGACTTTGTGCTTTGGTTTAAGGAA